GACAGAGACAATAACTCGAGTCGAACCCCCAACCTGGAGGACCAGGAGGCTGGATTTTGTCTGATCTCCCATTGACCCACTGACCTTCCAGGCATGATTAGATCTGCAGCTTGACAAAAGCCATCCCGTATAGGTCGTTGGGTCAGAGAGGTGCACAAGCCATCACACCACGACAAGGTGCAATCTCGTCGTGATGGTATACTGCTATCCATTTTACCCATACTGTTAAATTGCACCAAACAGCATCTTCGGCGTTCAATCAGAGTTGTGACCTTGGCCCAAATACTGCCCGGGGTTCATTTGACTATGTATCACCTTGAAATTTATTCGACTGTTCATTTCTCTAACACACTGCCCCCTAATTGTCTCTCAGTTGCTTAAATATTGTACCTGGCGCACAGTCTGTCCTCAGACAAGTGTGAAATATAATAATAATAATAATAATATATAAACATTCAAGGCAAAACATCACCGAGTTAGTTGAGAGGAACAACTTACCGACTATACGCGAGGATTTCTGTGCCTCAATCGTATCAAAGTAGCATTGCAGATTGTCCAACAGAGCGTTTTCATCCCAGCACAGCTAATTGGATGTGAGAACAAAATCGGAATGGAAAGAGTCGAATAGAGGAGAGATGCAAATAAGCTTAGTTTATGTACGGCTATGTTTGTTTGGTCATTCAGAATAAATGAACTCGAGAATTCTTTAATATGTGTGTGTCCTTCTTGGTAAGTCTTGAGTTGGTTTCGCTGTTGAGTCGATGTATGCACATTACTACTGAGACCCAACCTGAGGTAATAGCTCCATAGTACTTCCGAGCTTTTCGACTCAAGCTAATTTGCGCTGTATACGATTAAATGTTCACGAATAATTCATAGGTTGAGTAAAATGTTAGAAAAAAAAACAGACAAATAGTAAAATTTACAAGAAAATCATTTTCAATGTGTATTTATGGGAGCTGTAATATGGCGGTATTGTGATTTTGCAGATGGGTTTGACAGACAGATATGCAAGCCATTAGGTGAAGGGTAAACGGGATCTGAAAGGATTTCATCCGAATATGAACTATGATCAGATGAAAAGCCCACGCATTGCTCAGGACCAATCACAACACATCTATTGAATAGGTGAAGCGAAAACGTTCGCGATACACTTCTCTGTGGTGATTGACAAAGAGCAGTGGACAGCAACTTCGTCGTTGTTGGGTACGATTTGTCTCGCAATGGAGACTAGTGTGTATGGTGTTTTTGTGCAACTTGAATTAGTTGAATCAAATATGAAATTACAAATTGACGTTGAGATTTATTCTACCGAACAAGTGAACTTGCATAGTTGAAATTATCACACATTGTTTAAGCGATAAAAAATTTTTGAGGTTTGCCTGTTTATCGCCGGAAGCTATCCAATAAGGGATCCAGAATTTCATTCGTGATTGTTAACTTGATCACGGAAATGTATTAAGTTCATGTGTGAAGTACTTAATGTCACTCGTACCCGGCAATATCCCCCAGCAGATCAGTTCAGTTTGAACAACTATTAAACACGCATATTCGAGCGCCGGTTTTGGTCGCTGTCTTTT